ATGAAAGATGCACAGAATTGTGCATTAAGAAACCAGGTTTTAATAGTGGCTCCACTATCCTTTAGTGGCTTTATTGAAACAAATCTATAAAGTGAGGACAGCTGTACCAAATGTGTATCCTAGCAATTTCATGGGAAGAGTGTGACGATGAAAAGAGATGGTTGGGGCCGGCACTGTGGCATAGCAGATAAAGCTGCCACCTGCAGTGCTGGCATCCCTTATGGGTGCCAGTTCGAATCCTGGCCACTCTACTTCAATTGAGCTCTCTGCTATGCCTGGGAAAGCAGAAGGTGCCGCAAGTCCTTGGGCTGCTGCACCCACGTGGGAGACCTGAAGATACTCCTGGCTCCTTGCTTCGGATTGGTGGAGCTCCAGCCATTGAGCCCATCTGGGGAGTGAACCAGCAAATGGAAGACCTGTCTCTCTGTCTCTGTCTCTCTCTCTCTCTTTCTGCCTCTGCCTCTCTGTAACTCTGCCTTTCAAATAAATAAAAATAAATCTTTAAAAATAAAAGAGATGGTAGACTTTGAAAAAGCTAAATGTTCTCTACTAACGTTATTACTAGGTTTTGCCATAATGACTCATGTATCTGATCTCATCAAGGGAAAGATATTTTACAGAAGAATGTTTTTCAGAAAGTAAAAGTGTTTGTGTGTAAATGTCATTACATTTATTTTTTCCTCTTTGTGTATCTTTCTGAAACTTAGCATTTTGACATAATCATTGCTTCTTAATGAGTCAGGATTATAATTATGATCAGCACTAATTTTGTACTTTCACAACTCAACTATAAAATAAGGGCTCTGGGTGACATTCAGTGACCTCCACTAGCCTTTCGTATCCAAATATTTTGCTTCTTGATTGTGCTGGCACACCGTGAAGTCCTTAGGGATTACTAAAACACGGAGGACTAAGGTGGCCCTTTCTCCTAATGCTCACTACTTGCCCGACTTAGAATAGTTTTTCTGCCTGCTCTATTTTTTTTTTTTAATCTTTTATTTAATGAATATAAATTTCCAAAGTACGACTCATGTGTTACAATGGCTTCCCCCCCCATACCGTCCCTCCCACCCACAACCCTCCCCTTTCCCACTCCCTCTCCCCTTCCATTCACATCAAGATTCATTTTCGATTATCTTAATATACAGATCAGCTTAGTATACCTTAAGTAAGTATTTCAACAGTTTGCTCCCACACAGAAACATAAAGTGAAAAATAATAGATGATTTTTTTTTAAATGATGATGAAATCAGATCAGACCTATTGTCATGTTTAATCCCAGTGAGAGTCAAGTTGGGAATTGATAATTTCTTTCTTTCTTTTTTTTTTTTTTTTTTTACAGAAGATCAGTTTAGTGTACATTAAGTAAAGATTTCAGTCGTTTGCACCCCCATAGAAACACAAAGTGAAATATACTGTTTGAGTACTCGTTATAGCATTAAGCCTCAGTGTACAGCACGTTAAGGACAGAGATCCTACATGAGGAGTAAGTACACAGTGACTCCTGTTGTTGACTTTACCAATTGACACTCCTGTTTATGGCATCAGTAATCTCCCTATGCACCAGTTATGAGTTTCCAAGGCTATGGAAGCCCCTTGAGTTCTCCATCTGCCTTCTCTATTGATGTTTTGTTGTCATCCAGGATAGTTTCTTCAGTGGTCGGTGTGCTGTTTCTAATTTGCTGGTTTTTGTTTGTTTAAATAAACTTGATCATTTGCAGATCAGTGGTCTTTATATATTTCTAATATGATTAAGTTTTATAGACTTTGGTGGGCACCTATGCTATTGCAAAAGCCTTTAAGCTAATTTTGGGGTGCTCTGGTTTATAACTGGCTGAGGCAGACAGCTACACATTAGACTCTTGAGTAGGAGAAGTTTTCCTGAATTGTGGTCTTCCGGCCACAGCTGCACTTTAGCGTATGGTCTTCAGTTTATACTCACATCATTCTTCTCTCTTCATTTCACATTGCTTCATGTGCTTTGTGAGAGAAGCAAAGGCAGTTTTTAGACACCAGTTTTCATCCCCTCTGCCCATTTCCTATTCTGCATTCAAATGAAGGGCACCCTTTTACATTCTGCATCAGGAAAATAAAGCTCCTGGACATGTTGAGCACGACTGACCCACTTCTGATCTATGATCCAGCTAAGGTTATGCCACATGGAAAGAATGCAAATGCAGATCCAGATAGACATGGACTTCGTGTTGGCTTTGCTACCTGTTAGCTGTTCCGTCTTTCTAGCTGTGCAATGAAAAACTTCAAGGTTGTAGTTTTTTTGTCCATAAAATGAGAATAATCATGGTTCCTACATTATTGTCCTGTTTTGAGGTTTAAATAGGGTATATGTATAGAAGTTTATCATAATGTTTGGCAGATGTAATAATTTATAAATATTGTCATCACTTATCTTATTATTAATATATGTTCATGGTAGAAATTTGTAAATTATAGAATGGTTCAAATCAAAATTGAAAACTGCAGAATTCCATCTCCCAGAGCATCATTGTTGATAGACAGACAATAGAGAGAGAGTTGGGGGTGTATTTGTCTAGCCGATTACTTGTTACTCTACAAAACAGGCATTTCCTACAGCAATTCTAATTAGAATGCCAAATTTAGGTCCTCTTTTGGAGTTTCTCAAACCTGCCTCTGGAGCAAGAAATTAATACACATTTTTAGCAAGTTTCTTCCCTAGGGGGTAGGGGGAAGTGCTCATAATTAAATTATATAGAACACTTAAAAGCTTTTCTACTTGCAGATTGTTTGGCTCAATTCGAATATATTTTCCAAGCCTACACTACATGGATTACACATAGCTGTTTCTGTGTTTCTCTTAGATAAAACATCAAGAGTAAAAGTGCTCTAGGTTCTGATTTTTGCAGGGTTGTATGTCCAAAGGTCAGTGATTTTTCTGGATTGGATGGCAGTAATTATCTTAACAGAATAGTAACATTTTTCGATAAGGGACTAGTATCATTCCCTTGGAGATAACTCCCAGATTTGGAAGCTAGAAATCAAGTTCACTGTTCCAATATGTCAAAGCTTCAGTTGACAAAGAAATCATTTCAGAGTCATGGTGTGAGGTGCAAAGTGGGCTTTTTCCTGGAATTTTGACTAGAACTTAACATCCGAGAACAAAAGGCAAGTCCCTTGTGTTTGAGCTCAGAGAACTGTGGCCCATGGGGACAGCCTCCGGGGTTTGGCTACTGAGAGGCATCATTTCAGCAGAACAGGCGCCAAAGCCCTTTGTGTGCTTGCGTGCTTCTGCCTCCATCACATAAAGTAGGCTATGGAATAGTAGGGCGTCCCTGAAGGGGAGTTGGAGATTGGTGAAGTGGCAGCCATTCCTTCCTCCCCACTTCTCTATGGAGCACTCAGCTTGTCCTCTCCTTCCTGCAAGATTGAGGGTGCCAAATATCCCGTGGGCATTCTTCCCTGGCATGGCAAGATTAGGAGAGTCTCCTGTGCCTGAGTAGACACTACAGAGGGTAGCTGGAGAGGAAATTCTTTTCCTTACGTTCTGAGGGGCCTGCCAGCTTGGCAGGGGAGTCCCATCAGCAAATGCCATGGGGAGGATGCTGAGGAGGAGTGAGATTGAGGCCAGCTGGATCATCAGTCCAGGGCACTGTTCAGGGGTTTTCCATGGGGGTCTTTGAAAAATCAGCCATCACCACAGCCTGCCAGGGTGCACATTAGTGGGAAGCTGGAATCAGAAGCAGAGCTGGGCCTGAAACCTAGGCCCTCCAATATGGGATGTGGCCATCTCGAGCTGTGTCTTTACTGCTGCACCAATGCCAGTCCCAGAGCTGGCATTTTGATTCCTGTCTCACAGAAGAAACCCAGGACAGTCAGAGATAGAAAGGATGGTAGTAACACCTAGAGAAAGAAGGCTCCTGGCTTCGGCCTGGCCCAGCTCCGACTGTTGCAGCCATTTGGGGAGTGAACCAGTGGATGAAAGACCTCCCTCTCCCTCTCCCTCTCCCTCTCCCTCTCCCTCTCTCTTTTTTTTCCCTCTCCCTCTCCCTTTTCCCTCCCTCTCCCCCTTCCTCTCCGCAAATCTGCCTTTCAAATAAATAAATAAATCTTAAAAATATTTGTCTATAGACTTTGTGACCATCACTACCACTACACAAGAGAACTGCAGTTATAACCAATAAACAGAAGGAAGACTTGAAAAAATATTTCTCTTTTCCTCCCCATCTGGCTTTGAACGCAGAGGAGTCTGGGCTGGGAAGAGAGTAGTGTGTGAGACAGCAGCACTTTTCACCTTGTTTGATACCCGTTCCATGCCTCTAGAGGCACTGGTCAGCTTGGCTTGGAATTTGAATCAAATATGAGGCTGGGATTTTAAAATAAGGAAGACTATGTTTTGGACTGTCTTCGTTCTAAGTTAATATTAATCGAATATTAAATTAAACATCTATCTTTATACAAAAATGATGTGTCAAAAATAATGTAATGAAATATCCTAATAGTTTATTTCCTTACTTGCAACATTCATCCAACACTTTATCAAGTCAAGTTTGTCTATCATGGGGCTGACGCTGTGGCTTAGTGGGTAAAGCCACTGCCTGTGGTGCTGGTATCCCGTATGGGCACCGGTTCGAGTTCCGGCTGCTCCACTTCTGATCCAGCTCTCTGCTATGGCCTGGGATAGCAGTAGAAGATGGCCCAAGTCCTTGAGCCCCTACACCCACATGGGAGACCCAGAAGAACCTCCTGGCTCCTGGCTCCTGGCTTTGGATCAGCCCAGCTTTGGCTGTTGAGTCTGTTTGGGAAGCGAACCAGTGGATGGAAGACCTGTCTTTCTCTCTCTCTCTCTCCTTCTCCTCTCTGTAAATCTGCCTTTCAAATACATAAATAAGTCTTAAAAAATTTGTCTATTGTGTTGTGTTGAGCAAATGTATTATAGACTTGTTAATGTATAAAACAGGTAGGTACAGGCCACTTAAGTCAGAGGTTGCTGACTGATAAGCAAATTCTTTTTCCTTTTCTTCTAGGGCATGCTGCTTGGTTCCATTCCTCAGCCTCCCTCGCAGCTGAATGTGCACTTGTGACCAGTAGAATGAGAGTGGATGCTATGTCTCATTTCCTCCTGCAGGCAGCCCCACCATGCTCTCTTTCCTTGTCAACTGAATGCTGCTACAGGAACCTCATGATACCAGAGCCCACAGGGTGGAAGGAATCTGAATTGCTGAATTGCCACATGGGAGAAGAGCTGCCCAATGACTGTGAAGCGTGTTTTGGATTATCATGTGAGCAGGAAATGAAATTCTGTTGTCTTTCAGCCATTGTATATTTAGGGGGCCTGTTTACTATAGCAGTTTAACCTATGCTACCTAACGTATTACCGCACTACGGATTTTCCGCCCTTAGTGATCACAGTTCTGATTCTTTCTGATTTGTCTACATTTACTTGTTTTGATTTCCTTTGATCTCTTCAGCCTTTAGCTTTGTGGCTGTGAGGTTTTTGGAGATAATAACAGAAAGGGATTGTATTTAAGTGAAATTATTACAGTCAGGTTCCACCGATGATTTTTGCAGAGGCCAAACTCTGTCAAGACTAGATAGCAGCTGTGGGTAGCCAAAAATCTCTACGATTAGGAGCAAAGACAAGTGTTAAACCTCATCCAACCTTGATGTGGTTGTCTAATCATGGATTCTGGTTTTCGGGACCAATGCTGCTTTACATCCTAGCCTTTTGTTGTAAGATAGCCCCAGAGGCGCTGTGTTCCCATGGCCTCTGAGGAGGAAAATCTTGTGGAGTAAGGGAGGAGAAAAAGAAGAGAAATTTGCTCTGCCCAAAAAGGAAGCCTTTAGCAAATGTGAGATAACTTGAAGCAGCTTGAAGGGAGAAGTTTATCCATGTTAAAAGAATTTCATCTGAGTCTCCCTAAAAATAAAGGGAATGTCAACAAAGTAGATGAGAATTTTTAAGTGAGAGTACTGATAATTTTTAAAAGTAGGAACTTTATTATTTTTATTTGTCAGGTAGAGTTTTAGACAGTGAGAGAGAGAGAGAGACAGAGAGAAAGGTCTTCCTTCCGTTGGTTCATCCCCCAAATGGCCGCTACGGCCAGAACTGCACCAATCCGAAGCCAGGAGCCAGGTGCTTCCTCCTGGTCTCCCATGCGGGTGCAGGAGCCCAAGCACTTGGGCCATCCTCTGCTGCCTTTCTGGGCCACAGCAGAGAGCTGGACTGGAAGTGGAGCAGCTGGGACTAGAACCCGGCGCCCACTTGGGATGCCGGTGCCATAGGCGGAGGATTAACCAAGTAAGCCACGGCGCTGCCCCCAAAAGTAGGAATTTTAAATCACTAAATGCTGATGTGTATGTGTAAATCCACAAATATGTAAAGTCTATACATGTTAGTGTTGGTTCAAGGATTGTTTTAAAATTTGCTCATAAATAGTATGTAGCATGGCTCTGTATACAATTTTTCAAAACTCAAAAATACCTGTAAGGAAAGTTTTTGCTGTGCTAAAATGTATTTTATGAGAAAAGTTCTCAAGAAGAAATTGCAAAAGAAATTAGAATACCCGAGGTCTTTAAGTGAAAGGAAATGTCATACATAGAGATAGCTCAAAACCTTTTCCTGCTGACTCCTTCATTCTGACTGGCAGTTCTCTTTTCTCTACTGCTGTGTCAGTGAGTGATTTGAGGCCGAGGGCAGATGCCTGGATGATTTGTGAGGCCTACCTAATGCCACGGTGATAGGGATCAATGGTTTGCTCTAAGAAGTAGTAAAATGCATCATTTCTATTGAACAAACAATATTTCTAAAAATATTTTGCTAAGCATAGGAGTAAAACTTGAGATTTACTGTCAGGGAAGAAACATTAGAAAGTTAATCCATCTGACTCATGACACGATTGGCATTTCTCTCAATCAAACTGTATCTGTCATCCCTGTTGAAAGGAAACAGGTGCCTCCAAAAGGTGTTCATTTGTAAACAGTCTTCTTTGGAGCAGGAGAAAGAATTCTGCTTGACATAGTGCATTTTTCTGTATCACTCTTTTTTCTTTTTTTTTTTTTTAAGATTTATTTATTTGGAAGGCAGATTTACAGAGAGGAGAGGCAGAGAGAGAGGGAGAGAGAGAGAGTTCTTCCATCCACTGGTTTACTCCCCAAATGGACGCAATGGCCAGAGCTGTGCTGATCTGAAGGCAGGAGCCAGGAGCTTCTTCCAGGTCTCCCACGCGGGTGCAGGGGCCCAAGCACTTGGGCCATCTTCTACTGCTTTCCCAGGCCATAGCAGAGAGCTGGATTGGAAGTGGAGCAGCTGGGACTAGAACCGGTGCCCATATGGGATGCCAGCACTGCAGGTGGCAGCCTTACCCACCATGCCACAGTGCCGGCCCCTGTATTACTCTTTTTCAAAATGAAGTTGAAGATAAGAGACTACTAAGACCAATGAGTCCTTAGATGTAATTATATACCAAAAGCTGGGTGACTAAAAGAAGTGCTCATTTTTATTTTTTACTTACCTTTACTTATACAATGAGCTGTATTTGGAAAAGCCAATTGAACTCATATGAGAAAGAAATCACATCATCCAAAGATAATCTTCTGTGTATGCTCACTTAACATTTGTCTCTGGTTTTTCTCTTTTAGAAATATTTGCAGGATATGAATTTCAAACAAGAGACTGAAAACTTAATGGCAGTGGAAAAGCAAATGGGTGTATTCGAAGAGACAAGTGAAACAAAGGAATTGTTTTTGAAAAAGGCCTCCATAAATGTGGTGAGTGTGTTTTTCAAAAAAATATATTGCAGATCAAATTTTTCTTAGAGGTAATTAATACTTTTTTCTTATAAAATGCATTACAATGCATAGTAACTCTTGTATGAAGTTAGTGTAAAGGGGTGTGGTAATCCAAGAAATCTTAAGAATTTGGGAAATTATAATTTTACAAGTGTCACACTTGGAATACAGAAATAAATAGTTACTTAAAGTATTATAAATGTTGATAATAGATATGAAAGCTTTTTGTCAATTCTAGTGTCCACTAGAAATGCTATTATTGCTATTGATTATTATTAGTAGTGAATATACAGAGTGGAAGTCAATACAGGAAAAATGAAACTCTACAGAATCACCTCATGATTCTTGGGGAAGACATAATGAGCTGAAGATAAAATTCTAGCAAGAAGTGTTTGAAGAGTGATCATACAGAAGCATGATCCTGTGAATCCCAAGCAGGTACATTTTAAGGATAAAGAGGAGCCTTTCAGCATATGGACTTTGGATAGTCTCTCTAATTTAAAAAATCCACTAGAAAAATAAATATTAAATTAAGTGATAACTAAATATTATCCTATCCTTACCACAAAACTTCCCTTAAATTTCAGAAGAAGTCCAGCAGTTTTACTGCACTTCAAATGCCCCTTGATTAAAACCTGGGCAGGACTGTGGGAACATACTGAGTTATTTCCCTTTGGGAAAAACCATTTTGGTCTCTTCATGTTGAGCTTTTCCCCAAGTCAGGCTGTTAAAATATTTCTTTTATGTTTTCGTTAGAAACATTTCCAGCACTTGAAAAGCAAATACAGTATGTTTATGTCATCTAAGAAGCTGCTAGCTTTTTGCTAGTCTTCCCCTGATGTTTAAACTACATCATCTGTAGCGGCCCAAAGTGCCTGAGATTGCAGCAAGTTGAATTATATTTTCTTTGAAAATTTAACATTACTATTATCACAGGGTCTTTCTTTTACTCCTGTGTATAAGTAAAGAGTAAGGTAAGTGTCAAAACAAACAATTCTGAAAATTTCAGTGCTTAATACCGTAAGAGTTTATCTGTCACCCATATCGCATTTGAACTCAGGTAGGGGGTGTAGGTGACTCTGTTCAGTCATTGAGGGATCCAATCCCCTTTTATCACATCCTGTAGATCACTTCCATCCATATTTCATTGGCCAGACTCAATGAACTGCTTCTCCTAACTGTAATCCAGGCATCTGCCCGGAAGGAAAAGAAAATGGTCCTCTGTGAAGGCATAGTGTTCCCTGTGTCATCTCCCCTAAAAACAATGGTATGGATTAAAAAAGCTGAAATCTTCTAGATTGCTTGTTAAGATAGAAATTCATCATTAAGGCTGGTGCTATGGCTCACTAGGCTAATCCTCCGCCTGTGGCGCCGGCACCCTGGGTTCTAGTCCCGGTCGGGGCGCCGGTTCTGTCCCGGTTGCTCCTCTTCCAGTCCAGCTCTCTGCTGTGGCCCGGGAAGGCAGTGGAGGATGGCCCAGGTCCTTGGGCCCTGCACCTGCATGGGAGACCAGGAGGAAGCACCTGGCTCCTGCCTTTGGATCAGCACGGTGCGCCGGCCGCAACGTGCCGGTCATAGTGGCCACTTAGGGGGTGAACCAACGGAAAAAGGAAGACCTTTCTCTCTGCCTCTCTCTCTCTCTCATTGTCTAACTCTGCCTGTAAAAAAAAAAAAAAGTCATCATGAAGACCAGAAGAATGGTTCTGTGGTCAATGTTTTGTTTTTGAGGTGTCTGCAGTATATACTTGTGCATCTTGTATTGGTGTCATGGAGACCGAGGGTTGCTGGGCTGTACAGGCCTTGACTGATGATCATACAGTATCACATTGCATGATAGGGGCAGTGATTACTGAGTTGGGGACCTCAGCCCAGAAATTTCTCAAAATGGATCCATGTATCCGTAGGCAAAAACACAATTCCTCATTCATAGTGTTCTCTGCTAATGATATGCTTCTCCGAATTGAGCAGTGTTTTTCGGAGCCTGTTTAAGAAGGCTTCCACCAAACTGAGGGTGTTCCTAGAAAAGTGACTCAGAGAGTGAGAGCCCTTCTTGTCATCCATTCAACAGCACTGAAGGTCTGCCCTGCGCCATTCACGGTGCTGCTGGCGAGACAGACGGGGAAGACAAAGGAAGCAGTTCGACCTTCCCAGATCTTAATAGTGGTGATAACGACCAAGAGAACAGATGTCTGCGCATATGAAATTTAACTAGTTAGAAGTGCATGAAGATAACAGAGCGATGTGTTAGGGAGTGTCTAATAGCACTGAGACTTCGTCAGGTGCAATTTCTAGGAAGGCCTTTCTGAGGAGGTGGCTATTTTAGAGGAAATATGAATGGTAAGAAGAATCCAGCCACCTGGGGAAGAACATACCAGATAAAAGAGCTCAGGTGGGAATGGCCTTGTGGTGTTCAAGTAACAGAAAGTCCAGTGCGGCTGGAGTGCATGAATGAGGGGAGGAGCCGGGAAGAAGCAGAGCCAGGGAGACAGGCAGTGCCCACCTCGTGGTGTTTAGAACATACGCTAAGTGTGATGACATGTCAGCAGTTTTCAGCGGGGAAGTGACATGACTAGCTTTACTTGAAGGATATGACATTTTGGCTTCTGGGTGGTGGTAAATGGACAGAACAGGAGCAGGATGGTGCACGGCCCCAAATGATAGCAGCTGCTGATCCTACCATGGGAGTCTCTGTGCCACGAAGCTTTAATTGTAGGCTCCCATAGGAAACATGGGTTCTGGAGCTGAGGCTGCACTGTGCACAGTGTTAAAATAGAAAGCTGCCAGGGCCAGCACTGTGGCGTAGTGGATAAAGCTGCCGCCTGCAGTGCCGGCAACCCATATGGGCTCTGGTTCGAGTCCTGGCTGCTCCACCTCCGATCCAGCTCTCTGCTATGGCCTGGGAAAGCAGTAGAAGATGGCCCAAGTCCTTGGGCCCTGCACCCATGTGGGAGAGCTGGCAGAACCTCCTGGCTCCTGGCTTCGGATCAGCGCAGCTCCAGCTGTTGCAGACATCTGGGGAGTGAACCAGTAGAGGGAAGACCTCTCTTTCTCTCTGTCTCTCTGCCTCTCTGTAACTCTGCCTTTCAAATAAATAAATAAATCTTTAAAAAAAGAATAGAAAGCTGCCCTTTCGTAGACTGGGATGTCCCTTGTAGGCTACTCTGTTTCTTTCCTGGGGCAGATTATCAATTGGCATTCTTCTTCCTAAAGGAAAGGAAAGGAGAAGAGAGGTGAGGAGAGGAAAGGGGAGGAGAGAGGAAAAAAGAAGCAAGGACCTTAGTTTTAGTGTAAGTCACAGTCTGGCCATGATACATCCCGAGGCTTTCTTCCTAGAGTGAGACGTAGGCAAAATACATGGGGCCTATGAGAAGACTGTAATAGGGAACGTTCTGCTTGGCACACAGGTATGATGCCTGGAGACAAAGAAACCATCTTGGCCTAGAGCAAGCGTGAGAATGGAAGCTTTGAATTCAGGAGGGTCTAGAACACTCATATTTTCATTATTAGTAACCAGATACAATTCCCAGTTTATACGCTTCTCCTCCTGAGCTGAAGCTACTCTTTAAAACAGCACTCGCTAACTTCTGTGCGTTGTGTTGCTTTGTGATGAATGGTGTCCTTGATCAGATAAGTTGGGTAAATGCTGCATGCTCCATCTGCACTTAGGCCTTCTTGGAGCACTCCATTTAAAAGTGCACCACGACCACCACCGTCATCCGCCACCCACCTTGGGCCCTTTTTCCTGCCTTCCTGATGCAGACTTCTCTGTGGAAGTTATTACCGAGCATGCCCTGTGGTTGACTGTCTGTCTCTTTCACCTCTCCCCACAATTCAAAACTTGGATGTATGAGGATTTGTGTTTGTTTTGCTCACTGCTGTGTCCTCTGATCTTATTCCAACAAACTTTTTAATTTGCAGAGAAATGAGCAAGGAGACAGATGAAACTAATCAAGACCAACCATGACAGTGAAGCTTCAACTCCCTTTTTATTTTATTTTTTTTGACAGGCAGAGTTAGACAGTGAGAGAGAGAGAGAGAGACAGAGAGAAAGGTCTTCCTTTTTCCGTAGGTTCACCCCCCAAATGGCTGCTATAGCTGGCATGCTGCACTGATTCGAAGGCAGGAGCCAGGTGCTTCTCCTGGTCTCCCATGTGAGTGCAGGGTCCAAGGACCTGGGCCATCCTCCACTGCACTCCCGGGCCACAGCAGAGAGCTGGCCTGGAAGAGGGGCAACCGGGACAGAATCTGGTGCCCCAACCGGGACTAGAACCCGGTGTGCCGGCGCTGCAGGCGGAGGATTAGCCTAGTGAGCCACGGCGCTGGCCTGAACTCCTTTTATAGTTATTTTCTCTCTCTCCCTCTCCCCCTTTTCCCTCTCTCTCTCTCTCTCTCTCTAATACAACTGTACATTGTTATAACTTGACTTCCATTCTGCTTGGCCTGTGTTTGATGGGATTAAAACACACCTTTGAAATAGATGTCACAGACTAATTGGCAAGAAAGGAGGAGACAAAGCTATATTCTCATCTCTGGTCACGCTGGAGCCTTTTGTGTGATGTGAACTGGTCAGAAGAGTGTCCTCTGTCTTCCAGCACCAGGCACTCGTGATGACTTTCCTGGATTGTCTTGGTAGATGTCAAGCGATCAGGGGTGAATAACCCCATCTGGCTTCCTTTATGTGGAGGGAGCTGGCAGCAAGTGATGCTGAGATCTTGGGGCTGAAATGACTGGAGAAACTTATGAGGATCCTGCTGCTCATGTCATCTGTCCCCAACCCTCTGCCTTAGCTGGCATGGATGCATTTACAGTGCATCCATAGTCCCTGTCATTCTCTTTCCTCTGTGTGGCATGAATTAAACATCAAACATGGGTATTTGCTTGATAATTCAAGGGACATCGTAGTGACCTCAGATGACCCAGGATGGGGTATCACATCTGCAACTCTCTCCTCCTGGTCTGAGCGTAGTGTGTTTGAGAGG